TTTTTTTTTCCTAGTAACTCCCAACTTAATAGTGGTTGCTTGCAGCCTTGTTGGGAGTGAATGCAAATAAAAAAAAAAAAAAAAAAAAAATTTAAGTATTTTAATATACTTTAACTGATGATGGCTAAGATATAGTCGAAACATATATTTTATAAAATAAATGATTTTAACAAAAATTTAAAAAATTGTCTTATTTATTAAAAGATTTACACATTTTGTGCTGAGGAGAAACTTTGAAAATATATATACATATATATATATATATATATATATATATATATATATATATATATATATATATATATATATATATATATATATATATATATATATATATATATATATATATATATATATATATATTTGTTATTCACCTCTTCAAGGCAGAGAAGGCCACTACAGACGAGGAGGCTACTGAATAGTGGTTATAACCCTCTCTCAACTCTATAACTCCGAAACACTAACCTTGACGAACAAGGCCACTGCGCGGAGAAAAAAGTTGATATATATATATATATATATATATATATATATTTATATATATATATATATATATATATATATATATATATATATATATATATATATATATATATATATATAGAAACTTTGGAAATAAATAAATATATATATATATATTTTTTGCTATTCACCTCCTCAAGGCTGAGAAGGCCACTACAGACAAGGAGGCTACTTAATAGTGGTTATAACCCTCTCTCAACTCTATAATTCCAAAACAGGAACCTTGACGAACAAGGACGCTGCGCGGAGAAACAAAAAAAATATATATATTTTTGACACCATGCTATTTCAGAAAGCTTCATTTAAAATTTTAGTATCTAACTCCTTTCAGGTTTAGAGATATCAATACTCAGTACCAATTTCTTGACTGTTTTTTTCAGCACCATTGATTTTTCAACCCCTTAAGTGTGGCGTAGATTTAAAGGTTACATTTTCTATTAAAGCAAAATATATTTGTTTAGAACTATTTCAAGTCGTTAACTTTTTTTTCGTTTAGTTTGCCGAAAATTCAAAAGGTTTAATTTAAAAAAATTAAGTTTTACTAGTTATTATGCTTTAGGCACAAAAAAAGCCATACCTTGCTGTGACGGATATATCCGTCACTCACAGTTAAGGGGTTAAACACATTGCATCACACAATAAGCTTTAATTTATGTATTATTTGGTACTTGGTGATGAAAATTTGTAAAATTTGTATAAGAATAAAATAATTATGTGTTAAAAGTCTTAAATCATCTGACTATTCCTTTATTTACTTTTTGTTTGGAACCTCTTCACTCAATCACTTTTCTTTTTGTTCTTTACTGTTTTACTTCTTCCCAAGATTGCACTTTTTTTGATGTTATCTCTAATCAAATTGGTGAAGCTCTTTTTATTTAACCCTAAGCAACTATTGTTGTTATTAGTGACTTTTACGCGCATCACATTAAATGACTGAGTTCTGCTGGCACTAAAAATATTTGTGTTTCTCAATCACTTACTCAGATATTTAACTATGTGATTCCTTTTCCAGTAAGCCTACTGAGAAAAAGCGGGTGGTCAGATGCCTTATCTGACCATGCATATAACTTTTTTTTTGACAACTTAACCATGGCTTTTTGCATGTTTTGATTATTTGTGTGTTTTAAAAGTGCTTTCTTTATTTTTATTCTTCTCTTCAGTTTAGCTTAGATTTTTCAGCCCATTTTTAAAACATGCAGATTTTTTAGACCTGAGTCCTATAGTCTGCCATTATACATAAGAACTTCAGATTAAAAAATCCATTGTTCCACCATTTTAAAAATCTTAAATTTTCCCAAAAATTAGTCTATAAGACACTTGATATTTACATAGGAGCTCCTGGATACCATAGAAGCTCCTATGTAAATATAAAGTGTCATTTACATAGGAGCTGCTGGAAGAAATAATCTTTTGGTTACTTTCAAATCCAGAGTCCTTTTTAGGATACAACATCTTTGATTTCTAGTAACTTCTGGCGTACTACAACAGGCCTTATGATTAATAAAAATAACTTAAAACATTTGCGTAACAAAGTTTTTGATGGCATAACATTCTTTTTATTTGCTTTTCATATTTTGACTTTTTTGAACAATTATTTATTAATTATTTAATTATTAAATTACTACAAAACTAGTTTAATTAAATAATTAACTTGAAACAATGTGATAATGTGATCATTTGACAAAATCATGTTATGCCTATAACTAAATGAATGAAACAGATTGTTATATTTTTCGAATACATATTTACATTTTGCAAATAACAATTTTAAAATAAGCGATTAATAAAGTAAAAACATTTTTTACCAGGTTTTTTATGTAAAATTTAGTTATTTTTATCTTCAAAATGATTGATATACGATTGTATATCATTTTATTTTTTTTTAATTTTATCTGAATTTATTAGGTAGATATGTAAAACAAAGTTGTTAATCATTAAAATATTGTAAACTACTGCTTCAATATACTGTTAAAATATTTGTATAGGTATTTAAAAAAATTTTTTTATTTATAGCTACAAAGTGATTCAACATCATTGTCAGATGCATGTGAAATTTGGTTGTCTCTCCTGAAGGATGAAGACCTGAAGCCATATTATATTGAAATTAAGTTAAAATTTGATGAAACAATGGAACGTTTTCATTTTTTGGCAAATTTGACAGCTATTAAAGACCAAGGTATGGCCACCAAATCTAACCCAAAAATTGAAAGAACAGACTTAAACCTACATTTTTTTAACTTACATAACACATTAGTTGATTCTAGACTACAGACACAATATATGACAAATAAATAATATCCATATAGGATATACATTTATAAAATATAAAACAGAAATAAAATATTTTTTAATTTTAGGAAAATCTTTAAGCATTGAACAAGAAGCTGCTGCAGAAGCTTGGCTAAGTGATAGGCACAATGAGTACTTGGCTGGTTACTATGATTTTAGGCTGAAAGTCACAACTACCTTTCCACAGCACATGTTTAACGATAACTTTAGTTTTTCTTGGTCCTTTAGAGGTTCGAGTTAACAGGAATTTATTGTAATTATAAAGCTATAGCACAATTTAGAATCTCTTTAAAACTTTATGACAATATTATCAAAATATACAGCTCATTTCTTTGTACAGTGCATTTTTTGTACATAGAATTGTGTCTACTTCATTATGAAAATATAATAATTTCAACTATAAGTTAGGAGATAATATTTTAGCTCAGTCTTTTAATCCAAAAGATCTCAGTGTAATTCTGGATTATCACTTTAATTATAAAAAACATATTTTAAAAGTTATCCATGCCATTGGCTAAAGTTACCAATACTAAAGCATACCTTATTTTAAATGCTATAAACATCATTATCCTAATATTTTAGTAAAAGCTTTCACTACATATATTAGGTCTATATTAGAATATTGCTCCCCAGTTCGGAAACCATATCAAATTGAACTAATAAAAGCAGTTGAGAATGCTCAAAAGAATTTCACAAAAAAAATCCTCAATTTAATCTACTACAAAAAAATCCTGCAATTTAATCTACTAAACCTGACTTTTGCTTGATGTGAGTCAGTTAAGACAAGGCAATTAAAACATAATCCACCTGCTTCAAAATTCTGCAGAACTTAGTCTTAACTGAAAAATCTAAATTCTTTTTTATTGACAATAAAAATAACACGCAAGGTCATAAATATAAGATGCATAAACAAAAATGTAACTAGATATTTGCAAATATAGTTTATCTTACCAAGTTGTTAATATTTAGAATCAGTTACCTTTCAATGTTGTTAATTCCAATAGTATCAATATCTTTATGAGTCAAATTAACTCATACAATCTAGAAAAGTTATGTTTGAGTATATATTATATACTGCATATATTATTATTATTTTCTTATATAAATTTTTTATTTGTACTATGTTGATGTTGCACACTGTAACACAATTTAATTTAAGGCACGTTGTTCATGTGCAATAATATGGACTTGCATGTCCTTTAGAACTAGTATCTTTTGTTCTTCTTTCTCTTAATTGGAGGTTTTATAACAGAATTTTCCTTCTTCTAGGCTAGTGTTGTAAGCATTGCTTTAAGTATTAAATAAACATTGTTTCAAGCTTTGAGTAGTGGCATATGAACAGATACATAATACAATTAACTTCGAGTGGAAGATTGATGGCCTTGAATAACCATTTAAATAACTTAAACTCATTTTGCATAAACTTGAAAATTGAAAAGATTTTTATTGCTGGAAAATTTAGGTTTATTAATGCTCTACTAATTTGCTATTAATCAAGTGAAAAATAAGAAATACTATTTTTGTTTGAAATAATTACATTAGATTTTAATCTTAAATAAAAATAAATCCTAATGATCAAATAACAACTTAATATTTTGGCAACCTATAACTTTACTTTTGATTTAAAAATATTTTTTGATTATAAGTCTCATAAGATTCTTAAAAATATTTTTTAAGCATACATCTTAGATTTGATTCTCCATACATGTTACATTTTTTATAATACATGTTACAAAATAAAGTTAAAAATAAGTAAAAATTATTTATAGAACATTTCTATTATTATTCAAAATAAACTTATTTTAAGCATACATATTAAAAATTTTGAAAATAAACCTCAAAATAACTTATGATATATTAATTTGGATAATTTTAGGTATAAAACTATCTTTTAATCGACATTTCACTATCTGTCTGATTTCATGGTGCTTTCAATTAAATTAGCCTAAACATTTTTATTAAAAACAGGGTGTCAAAAAAAGTAATATAGATATTGGTTTACATATTATTTTTTTATGTTCAACATTCCACATGTTATATATTTCACAATGTTTTGTGATAAACAACTGTTCAACAAAATACAGAGTATACATATACTTTTAAAGTACATATAATAAATATTAATATGGGAAATATCAAAATACCTTTCATGAATAAAGCTGTAACATGTAAAACATAAAAATACCTACCATGAATATTAAATTGTAACATATGTGAAACATCAAATAAAGAAGCCTTTTTTCTAGTATGTAGGTGAGATTGTATAATTCCTTGATCACTATATTGAACAGGCATTAGCCATCCAGCAAAAGGTACCATTTTCCCACCATTTTTTATATGGAAATCATAAAGCTTTGTTTGCAGAAGATCTTCCTAAAAAGTAAAGTTTAGTATAAAATCTTTTTTTGAAAACGTAAGAACAGCTGTTGCTTCAAAAAGTACACTTTTCAAACATTTGCTATAAGATTTTTTAAAGTTTGGTATCAGGACTTCAATTTGTAATGGTCTAATCTTGTTTAATCAAAATATAATAAAAAGTTGTTTAAGCCAATGCATGTTATTTTTTTAAAACAAATAAGCCTAAAGAATAAGATAATGTGGTAAACTTTTATTCAACAAAGTAAAATTCAATCAATAAGACTTTTTTAAGCTCAGAATTGTGTAATAAATTTACATTCAGGCAATAATTTTAACAGATCAGTAGTTATAGTAACTACCATTTGTTACTTTCAAATATTTAAAAATAGAAACTTTATTGAGAATTTTATTCTTAAAAAGGTTTGTAGCAAATTAATTGAACATTAACTTGAAATAATGACCAAAAGATTGATTGGTATCTAAATGAATATGTGATCAGGGATCATGGACAACAATCTGCTTTATTTCCAGTAGGGATGCAGAGTCCTAAAAAGACTCTGGCTTTAAATCTTGGCCTCCGGTGTCAAGGAGCTCTAAAAGTGTTTAGTGACTTATAATCAGCAATAAGAAAAAAAAATCATGAGACTTTATGACTTGAAACCTGTCATTTTTTTGCCAAGAGTCCTAAAGTCATTTTCGCCATTATACATAAGAATTCTAAGCTTAAAATTTGTTTATTCATCTAAATTAAAAGTCGTAACTTTTCCCCCAAAATTAGTCAATAAGCCTCTTTACATTTTTGGAGCTCCTAGATACTAAAATCCTGATAAAAATAATCATTGCGACTTTTAAACCTGGAGCCCATTTTGGGACTCTGCATCCCTGTGTTTAATTCTTAAATTTGCATCTTTTATAAACTTAGGGCATTAAACAACAACAATAAAATTTTATTCATTAAAAAATTTAGTAAAAAAAAACTGCTTTTTACTAGAATTTAATGATACAAAATGTTAATTATCTCCGACTTCAATTTAAAAGTGATTTATATGGATTATATTATATGGATTATATTATATGGATTATATTATATGGATTATATTATATGGATTATATTATATGGATTATATTATATGGATTATATGGACCCGTAACTTAAAGTTAAATCTGAATAAATTTTTAAGGTTAAACTCACATTAACTAAAATTATTGTGATCATACTTTGAAAAACAAAAATATTATATATTATATAATATTATATAAAAAATGCAAACAACAATATTATAAAGAGCATATTCTAAAGATTACTCAATTAAATTTCACAATTTTTTTGCATTAAAAGTTTGACAAAATTTTCCGAAAAAAAAAATCTACTAAGATATGAGGATATAAAACAAAATTTTTGAGTTAACTAAATGCAACTGAGGCAATTAAGCTTTTTTATTCATTTATAAAATATAAAAAAGTTGAACATGCATTTTGTTTTTCTGAAAACATTTATAATTTTTTTTGTTTGTTTGTTTCTTCAACTATATAAAGTAGAGGATGCTTATTTCAAAAAACTGGGTTTTAAAACAAAGTAAATATTTTACAAAACTGGGTGATAAGTTAAAAAAAAAAAGAAACACAAGAACTTGTGAACTATATAAACAACTTTGTCTATAATAAATGCCCTGAACTAAATGCTAATAATTTAATGGGTTACCTTACATAGAAATAATATATAAAATAATAAAATTAATACTTGAGTTGGCATGCGCTTTTAACAAACCAATCAAAAATAATAGATACTTTTAACATAGATGAATCAATAGCTTTAATGTATTCCCTTACGTTTAATAAAAAGCAAATTAGAAAACTAATATTTAACTTCAAAAATTAGCTTTCCCTTTGCACACTTTTCAGTAGAAAACTTTTTTAAATTGTTGGCGTAAACCATGCTTTTCACTCAATTCATCCTAATTCTCATTAAAAATTTAATTTTTCTAATTTAAAAAGAATTAAATTAAATTTCTTAAAAAAATTTTGAGTCTAAAAAGAATTTGAAAATATATTCTGTATGTGAATTGAAGTTATATTGTATATAAATTTTTTTAAGTACTCATTATTAAACATTTTAATTCATAATTTAAAAAATTTTCAGAAATTTTTTTTTACTAACAAAAATATTTTTTTATTATATTAAAATCCTCAGAATTTCTCATTATCAGAAATGTTGCAGCTAAAAGCTTCAAGAAGATGACTGAGCAGATCCTAAATCTCCTGGACTACTATGATATTTAGGCCAGATGTCTTTTGCTCCAACACAACTTGTTCTAATATTTTGGCCTTTTAAGAGGCCAAAATATTAGAACAAGTTATAGTCCTTTTAGATGACCATAGGTCATCTAAAAGGACTACAATCAGCTCTGTGAATTAGTTGTTTTCTAATCAAATGTGTCATTTATTTTTATCAAATTGAAGCCTGCTTTGAGGCTGGCCTCAAAGCAGGCTTCAATTTGAACATTTATACTATATTATAATTTTTTTTTCTTTTTAGTAAAAAAAAAGACATTTTCATGTTGTTTTTTTACTGACCTAAAATTATTTGTTCATTCTTGAAGTTCATGGCAGATGTTCTGTACCTGCTGACCCTAAAGATAGTACTCAACAAAATCCAAAATTTTTGGCAAGTATACAACAACACTTTTTATATTTAACAGGACAGTTAGTTATGTTACCCTAGTTAATGATAACATTGATTAGGATTTAATGATAGTAATATTGATTAAGAATAATATTGAATAAGATAATTATAATAATATTGATAAGTAGGTGAAGCAGATGATGAAAAGTGCGACATTCCTAACAATTTGTACATATAGGATACCAGAGCAACTGGTTAATAACAGATCAATAACATTTACAAAGCTACTAGGATTCCAAAGCTAGCTTCCTTTCTAAGATAGCTGAGATCTCTGTTAGAAAGATGAAAATGTAAATTAAGAGAAACCCCAATTGGAAATTTGATACATTTAAGAAGTTTTTGAAGTTAATTGAATGCATCGACTGAGCTGAGAGGAATATTTGAACCAACTTTATTTCTTTTCCATCTTTCAAACTAAATATTAAACATGTTTTGTCTTTTTTTACTTTTGATAACAAATTTTTAGGCCTTTGTAAAACATGAAAATGTAAACTCTTTCTGTCTAGTTAAAAAAATATATAATTTTTGTATAAATTATTTTATTATAAACTATATATTATAATAAAATAATTTATACAACAAAATATTTTATCAAAGTGTCAAATACTAAAAACCGGATAATATCTATTATGCTAAAAAATTAAATAAAGTGTATGCACGGCTATGCTCCTAAATAAAACAATAATTTTCTCACTTTTTTTGTGGAATATAAACAAGCATTTCTAAAGACACAATTTTTAGTTTGCAACAAAAATGTGTTCCCACATCGGAAATTAACCATTTTCTAATAAACAATTACAAATCGCTTCAATTTACTTTATTATCTCTTATCTCCGTATATAAGAGGGGGGGGGGGGGCCAAAATTAACTTTTTTTTGGATTTTATGTAGTTTAACCACTTTTTCTTAACTTCTTAACCTTTTTTATTAATTTTTTTAAATATTTTCTTAACTTTTTTTATGCTGATTTCGAATTACTCAATACTTTTTCTTTATTATAAATATTAGGCCATCTACTACAATTTCAATTAAAGTGTTGTTTATTTTGACAAAACAATCAATTGTTAAATTAAATGAAATCGTTATTATTATCAAAGTAGAATCCGTGGTAAAAAATTTTCTTTTCATTTTATCAATAAAATACGTAATTATTATGTGTAGTTATAAATACAACAAAAAATTAGGCATTATACATGAAATTACTCCATAAAAGGAACAATTTGTAATAATTACTAGTGAAAATGCGAAATAACTTGATTTGAGTTCTTTCTCAGAATCAAGAGGTCTAAGGTTCGATGTTAGCTCTGACTAGATAAGCGACATTGTTAAGGAAGGATGTGTAAACTTCCTTGTTACATTGCTCATCCACGGCGCTTTGAGACGCATAGTTCTTCTTGGAGCACCTTAATAACTAAAAAAAAGTCATCGTAGGTGATTGTGGATTGTTGTTAGGTCTTTTCAAGTTAAGTAGAAACTTTAAATTATTAGCTTATTATTCTCTAGACATAACGCAACGTTTTGTTTTATTTTTATCAATAACTATAATTTTAAATAAAGTGGATCTTTGCTAATAATTTTAAAAAAGTGGATATTTTGGTTATTACTAAAATAAATATCCCATTCATCAATCATTTTTTGACATTTAACATATCTTTATGTTTTTCAATATATTTATTGACATCTGATTCGCATATATATTACCGCGTATATTATTATCGCAAGTATATCCACGAATAATTTTTGTAACCGATGGTATTTTTGAAGCCAATTGCAACATGAAAGTATATACAGATGGAAGTTCAACCGCTTCAGGACTATGCATTAGGGTGCAGTGAAACTTTATGAGAAAATATAAATAGTAAATTATTGATATGCAATAGCAACAAAAAGTTGCCTTTTGATATGTGTTCAAATAAAGTGAATAAAATTTCCTCAAAATTTTAATGTCTTCAGCTGCCTCATGGGGGTCAAAGTTACTGAAAAATAGGTATTTTTCATGAAAACAGCCTGTTTTAGCCATAACTTTTTAAAATAAAAAACTGCATTTTTTTCTTTATTAATACCCTAAGCCTAATTACTAATTTTATTTAACTTTTATATAATTTAACCCTAAGCCTAATTACTATTGTTTCACCCAGTACTGTATTAAGGGGGCTAGTTTTTTTTTTTTTTTTTTGGGGGGGGGGCTAGGGACTATTGCCCCAGGCCCTCCAAAAGAATTAAGAGAAGTTAAGCAGCCGTGGCACAGTGGTAGCGCACTTGCCTCAGAAATGTAAGATTCGTGGTTCAAACCCCACCTCTGGGCAAGTTTTGCGACATCGGTTGGGAAGGAGGCGTGAACTTCCTATTAAATGCTATTCCGCGGTGCTCTGTGATAAGACCGTAAGGACTTCTTGGGGCACCTAAAATCAACTTGAAAAAAAAAAATGTTTTTTTTAGTAATCTTCACGCTGTGACACATAAAAAAGGGGCCTGAAAAGTCTTAATTCGCCATTGGTTTCACCTAACCTATTTTAGTTATCTTGGTTATTTCACCTTTGTAACTGTTCAATAAATGTTTAAAACTAAATGTTTTAAGCTACTTGTTAACTTTATGCTATATTGACGTAAAATGTGTTTTATTAACCTTTTTTAGTTATTATTTAGAAATAATTATCTAAGTGGTTCATTATATTTCTTTTAATACTTCTCAATATATTTCTTTGCATATCAAGAAATTGTTACTAATTTTTGTTATTTTAGTTTAGCTTTTAATTTTATTTATGGCTTGCTAGATTAATGTATAAATCAATAATTACTTATGAATCTAATACAAAGTTTGCTTATTATAGAACAAGTTTTAATATGGCCATTAGGTTAGTGAGAACGAGGATGATGCTGACTTGTCCTGTCTTTGGTATAACTAAAGAGATGTCGCAAGTTGTTTTACCAACATATGAAGGTGTAATGAAACATTACTTGCTTGTAAAACATCAACTAAAACCAACAGCTGCTACGAAAGAACCTACTATAACAGAAATCTCTGAAAAAGTTGCACAAGTTGTTGAAAAAATATGGTTAAAATCGTCACTGTCGATGATTACTCATACACGGGTATTAAAGATGATTTTTCTCTATCATGATAAATACAGAAAACTATTGAGAAACATCAAGCGCAGTGATTATGATAACAAAGTGAACGTTTTTAAAGAAGATGCGAGACATAAACTGTTTGACATTTGCACCTGTAAGTGAGTGTTTGAGAAGTGTGTATGTAACAAAACTCGCAAGGTTCCTCCTGCAGAGCAAGATTTTATCCAAGATCAGAAAACTCTCAAATTGATATGCATTGGCAATGTTGATAAACTTGCATCAAATAAACTGGCCATGAAGTTTAAAAGAAAAAGTATTGAGCAGCGGCGTAGAAATAACCATCGCAATGCCTTGTCCTTGTCTACGGTTGGTGATTTTGAAAGTCGATCAACAGCTCAAAGTGATAAAGATGATAATTACATTAATAAAGGTAATAATTCCGATGTTTCTTCCATTGACATTATTAGTTTTTTATATTTTCAATGTCGGCAACCATTTCCTGCATTAGCAAGCGTCTGTGATCGGTATGGGATCTCAGATAGAGCCGGAGCTGCAATAGCAAATGCAGTTTTGGAAGACTTTGGTGTTGTTAATCAACAAGGTACCTCTTATGTTGTTGATCCGAGTAAAATATGACGGGAGTGTAAGAGAAAACGTAATCAATTAAAAACTTCCAAAAGTTCAAAAATAGTTTGTGGAATTTATTTTGATGTACGAAAAGACAAAACTCTTGAAAATATCAAGGAAAGGTTAAGTGAAAACATCAAGGAAGGATTAAAGTTCTATCGACGAAGTATTACTCAAAAGCACATCTCTTTAATCGAAGAACCAGGGTTTAAATACCTTGGGCATTTATCACCATCTGGATCGTCTGCCTATTTGATAAAAAGTTATATAGTCAACTTTATAACTATCAAAAATATTGACTTTAAAAAGTTTGTAGCTGTTTGATCTGATGGAACTGCCGTAAACACAGGAATTAAAGGTAGCGCAATAAGGTTGATGGAAAAAGAATATAACAAACCGTTGCAATGGTTGGTTTGTCTTTTGCATGCAAACGAACGTCCTCTTCGACATCTACTAATTTATTTGGATGGATCAACTACAGGACCAAAAGCATTTTCTTGCCCAATTGGTAAGGGACTTATTAATTGTGAGAAATTACCAGTTATTGAATTTGAAAAGATTGATGTAACTCTTCCAAAAGTTGAACTTAAAGATTTGAGCACAGATCAAAAATATATGTGGGAAATGTGCGAAGCAATATCCAAAGGTGAATTTTCACTACCCCTATCAAAAAAAACTTTAGAGGTACTAAATTACTTCTGATGGCTGACATGTGGCGGTTACATGTGGCGAGCGAGGATTCATCAACAAATCTGTCGTGAGAGTTTATTCTCCTGTTTGGTTAAGTATTAAGATGCATCCTTCATGCAAAGATGGTGCGCGGCATCTTTTTAAACTTATTTAACAGTCACTTTACTTATCGCAGGAACTGCGAGATATAGTAGATCCTGTATTACAATGTAACGGCTATTTGCCAACAAATTCGTGATTTAGGATTAAGGCGCATTCTTAAAACGCGACAAGAAAAAGATCACACACTGCGTACTTTCAGTTTACCAAAGCTTAACTTAGATGCACATGATTACATAGAACTCATCAACTGGAAATAAAATAAAACAACCGAGCCACCGTTGACAGCTGATTAGGCTTTGCTGGCTGTATGTGGAGAAAAAACTCGAGATGGTTTTATTCGATCGCGTTTACATGCATGTCTCAATGCCAATGTTTAAGACAGAATATCGTGCTTCCAAACCATTAAATTGGTAGAGTGTAATGACCGATTTTCTAAAACTTGATTGTGTATGTTAAAATAGTTAATGAATAGATATTTTTGTTTCACCCTTTAACTTGATATAGACTTGCTGACTTACTATCTTGCTAATCTGCCACAATGACGGAGAGAGGGAAGGGGAAGCGCAGAGGACCATGTCCCCTAGTTATTTTTAAAAAGACATTTTTTATTTTTACAAAGTCGGTGTTTAAATTAGTACTTATTTACATTTTAAATTTTTTTAGTGCATTGATCCCAATCCACCCCCCTTTCCCCCACAAAAGTGTCACGCCGTGAAATATATATAACATATAACCTTAAAAGGTCATCGAAATATGTTCATATTAGATATAAAAGAATGACATATATGTCATTCTTTTTAATTATTATAGTTTTTTCTGAAAGAATTTGACAAAAAAGTATAATCTTTAATCAAAAAAAATAATTTACAAAAACACTCAATTGCCATAAAAAATACCTCTTTTTAGTAACTTTGTTCCCTATGAGGCAGCTGAAGACATTAAAATGTAATGTTTGAACACATACCATAAGACAACTTTTTCTTGCTATTACATATAAATATTCCACTTTTAATTTTTTCACTGCACTCTATATGCATGTAACCTTTTGTTTTGCAAACAAAAAGAAAACGACATCAAGACTGTACTTAATCTAGGTACGTTAACGCAAATAGGTTCGTTCATAATAATTTAAAAATAGTATTTTGACGATTCGCCAATAATATTTTAGTATAAAGATGTTTAAACTAAAATATTATAAGAAAAAGTTGTTATCTGCCGTTTCTTTATCGCTATTTTTAAACCATTAAAAATAGCGATAACGAAACGGCAAATAACAACTTTTTCTTAAACTTTTTATTAAATGAATGGTGTATTACAAGCATGAATGGAATTATGATATACAACTAATGAAACTTT